GTAGATATATATATATGTGTGTGTGACTGTGTGTGTGTGTGTTTGTGTGTGACTGTGTGTGTGTGTTTGTGTGTATATCTATAGCTTCTCTAATGTATAAAAGCTACATCGATTTTCCGGATTGTTCAATTTAACGTACGGTAGAATGTTAATTTTTACTTCATTTAGCGCATTTGTATAAAGATTGTGCGTCCGTCTTTTATTATCATACATAACAAATGTACATGAGTTTTGCTTTCTATACTTGTCCATTTATTATTCAGATTTTCCAATTGTATGGAGTATGCGAGTTCACTCTGCTTGTGAACCCAATAGGCGTATATTGGTATTTTATCGCGTTCAATTTATTCTTACCCACGTATTTAAAGGCGAGCTTACAGCGACCCCAGTATCGAGGGCCAGACCTTTAAATTGGAGATGGAAGATGGTAGTATTTACCTTCTAGCCGCCAGTAATGAGGCACGGCGAGATGAGTGGATTTCAGCACTTACCAACTGCTGCATAAGCAGTAAGTGCAGTGAGAATAGCAGTCTGACGGATATCTCAAGTGGGGAGAACTTGGGTGTGCTACAGCCCTGTGAGGCGTGTAGGTAAGTCAATCTGAAAGTATGCGCTAGTTTATGCAGCTCGTATGGCTTTAACTAGTCTGTCACTTATGTGTGTATATTGTAATTAAATAGTTGGACTGCTTAAACGTATGAACCACAACCTTCGCACATTGTTGTACACACAGTGCCAGTAGGGAGGTCACTGGTATTTGAGGGGGGTGAAATTTTATGCAGGTTTTTATGCTTAATGATATTGTCGTATTGCAAAATATTTGTTTTGTGTGTTCACCTGTATCTGAATAATAAGTTTAATGACAAATATATTGGTCCGCTGCAACTCTGTGAGTTCCTCACGATAGCGCAACTGACGGGGCTGCGTAATTATTTTATTTGCGGGTTTTTATTCTGGGACGGTAGCATTAACGAGGTCAGGCAGAAAATATGTAGAGCTGCATAACTCCTTAGTTTGAACTTTATATAGATATTAATGTAAGTCAGGGAATTTGATTGAATGTCACCTACACTGGAGAGTATTTGATGATATGCGTAATTGACATATGGTTAGCTTGCCTATACTCATCTGTTGTGTTTCTGTTCTTTTATCGAAGACTGTTTTTCAGAAATATATATGAAGGACTGCTTACTACTCTTACGCTGTTTGAGTGGCTATGTATATTACCTTATAGCCCCTTTCTCGATGTCTGTTTCAACCCCTGCTCTCAGTGCAGTATAAATTATAGAAGCTATACTCTGGGTACTAGTACATATGCTGTTGCATAGTTTGTGGACAGACACATATATTCCCAACCACCGTTTCCACATTTGTAGGAGTATGGTCGTCTCCACCATCTCTACCGGGCCCTCGTTGGCCCCGCATGTGGGTGCCAATAGCAGTACATTCAGAGGTATCAACGGTATCGCGCATGGTATGTAATCACCACGAAATTGATCAGCTTTGTTGTCTTCAGCTGGGGCGTACAAGGGTGGTCCACAATAGTACTTACCCATACTACCTTTGTTGGGCACGTGGCCTTCAGTGTATATATCATATGTACTTGCAAAAATTCCAGGAAAAATATAACACAGTCGATTATGTGCGTGGTACTCCATCGCTTCAAAGCTTTCGAAGAATGACCGTGGTTTTATTCTCAGTACGACGACTAGCGGTTAGTCCGTAGTGGGCTCGTGTTGTAACCTTAAGCCCACCTCAAATCTAAAAGTACGCCTGTATCATTTACCTGGGTCTATTTGCGCCTTTTCTCTTGTTCTCTCGCAGGCACTGAACTTGACCGGCTGGTAGGCCTGACCTGCTCACTCATCAAGAACACCATCGAATTCCGCATCCGGAGAGGCGAGGCAATTCGATTGTGGTTTCTCAGCGGTGTGGTGTACAGATCAGTAATCCTGGTACAGAGAACGAGCGGATTGATGCTCGCGATGGCAACAGCGGAGAGGCAGTAGAAATACCTGAAGGGTTCGCGTGTCAAGTGACCGTCACCCCTATAACCGGTACGCATACCATGATGTGAGATGATGGGGTGCAGCTTTGTGGGATAATGATATGACATATAAAAGTAAACATATCGGGTAATGTATACACACTATCAACGTAAGCATACAGTGACGAGGTGAGTCTCTATGTTCTGTGTATGGTAAAAATATGTGTCGTGCGAGTGGGATGTGTGCGTGTATATTTGCTTGAAGTGCCTGAGAATGCGACTACGGTATCCTCCCAATACCCTCAGCCTGCGTTGTCAAAGTGACTATCACTACTGTATTTAGTGGGTATTTGCTGTTTGAGAGTGGCGCAGGGTATCTAATAGAGTGTGTGATGTATAAGGAGGTGTAGCTATATAAATGGCCTGTATGGACGGATATGTTGCCAAGTATGTATAATATTTTGGTTGAATCTGGTGGAGGAGAGGGTAGTGTGTATCTTCTAATCAGGGCCACGGAAGATGCATCGTCAGAACTAGGATATTGTTACAAGTTCAGCTAAACCAGGATAACTTTGTGTGTGGTCATCAATTGTAGGAATAGTGATTATGTCTCATGGATAAAGGTTAAATATCTCGTGGTGAGCTAGCGTGCTGTTCTGTTCTCAATATTCGATCGAAGCAATGGCAATGGCTTGTGTCTGGGCGCGCGAAATCAAAGTGGCACGTGGTGTTTGCGACCTTTTGTGTGAGTAACATTGTCCAACCCAGTTTTGCCGTCGAAGCTCATGTTAGAACCCCCGCTATATATCCAATACTTGCGCCCCGTCGACGGCGTTTTCACAATGTATCGATTTTCGCGCGCGATTCTACTTCAAGTTTCGATGGCATTTATATGCTAGCTAATTGTATCATGCTGAGAAACACAGTATGACACGTAGAATGAACAAAACATATATACGGCAAAATATATATTCTAAAATCACAGAACCCGTGGCTGGGAACGAGTCTACGATAGATATGCTACTTGATGTGCCAAATAGAGTCCTGCAGCACATCGGACTAGTGATGGTTGCGGTGGGCGTGGCTGAGTATCATTTGCTGGACTCGCGGATTTCTGCAATGCCATTACTGGGTAGGTAAAGGTAAAAGATCTACATGTACTTTAACGAGAATTATAAATGTGAGTATGCCTATGTGAATGGATGCAAACTCTGCTAACATCCTGAGGTGTCGGTGGTAGGTGCGCAAGTGGTCTGGGGGCTGCGTGAAATATCGCTTGACAAAAGTGAATAACACCATTTGCATATGTTCTTGAGCAAATCCACGTATACTGTCAGTACGTAGCTGCAGCAATATTGTTTGTCACTTCACCTAAACGTGAGAAAACAGTCTGCTAGTGCAATATTGTGTGAATAGTAGCCAGCATACATGGGTCACAGCATGCCATTGAGTGACGTATCGAGCGGTCATTTAAAATTATATTTCATCTTTCGTCGAGGATGTATAGGATGTTTACATATATGGTTATCTTGTCATTAGAATGGTCAACAGTATCGTCGTAAATAGGCCCTATAGTCATATAAACCCTAGCCTATCGGTGAATTACGCTTTTGTTTTAACCTTCTGATCTTTGCAATTCCCACCGCTCGTTTGGTCTATCTCTCAAACTCACACCCATTTGTTAGCTTTGAAACTAACCCACGTATTTTAAGCCAATTATATAGCCCATATAAACGGCGTTGCAACACACGGCACAAATAGAAACTAATATATTGACACCTGCAGGGTTGCTCATCCTGACATTGTCGGCGCTGGTAGGGATTGAAACACTCAACCGTTGGGTTGGTGGGCAGACTGAAAGAAGCTCTGCTGCTGCTGCAAGTAAGTCTATAAATAATTGGAACCCGAAATCTGAGTACCTTTTTCATGTTTGGGCTTCTGCGTTCCTTTCTTGCTCTCCGCTGCGTAGCATGTCGGTTATCGTGCGTGATGTGATTAAATTTGATTTCTATCCGCGGTGTGAATAAGTGCCCGCTCAGAACTTCACTACCTTCCTACGCGCAACGCACATTCCTCGTATTTGTGGTATAATTTCATCTTTGCCCCAGAGTATGACTATATTATGGAGTCATAGTTGTTCATACCCTCAGCTGTATTCACGTCTTCTTCACTCATTCGCCCTCCAGAGAGGTCTCAACTGCTCTCAGTTGTATTGCGCATCGATCCCAATAGCGTATATATTGGATCGGACCCGCACAATCCAAGCATGCACAATCTTATGACGGCCAAGGTAGCCGAAATACCACAGCCACATTCACAGCCGAACACAGATACAAGTACACGTGCAGCTGCACCCCCTGCCAGTACTGAAGGTGGTCCGTTGGCTGACAGATCCATTCGTGACAGTAGGGCTACTGTACAGGGCATGACCACACTCGATGCGGAGAATATCGATCCACGCGATCCCACGGGAGAGCTGCTGAGCAAGATGACCGAGCTATATCCCAACGATGGTCCTGTATGTTGATCGGACTCGTTGATTGAGTCGTTATTGAAGAAAATAAGGAGAATTGGTGCATTTCAACAAAGCATGTGTCGTAGTGCGAGTGTTGGTGTACCTGTAAAGTTTGTGTCCGATGCAAGACTCAGCAGTAGTCGTTGCGAAATGATAATCAAGTATATGAAATTTCCTGTATACACTTGGAAGTGTGTCTCGCGCGTTTGCTCCTAGAGTGGGCTTGAGAATCCAACAATTATGTAAAGGAGAGCGCTCTAGAGGC